ACTCTTTGAATAAAGACACACACACACACGGAAAACCAGAGAAAACTAGTTACCTTTGCTGTGTTTAGTGTTTGAGGACATAAAATAAAATGAACAGGTTTCACCTTTCCTTCATTTCTTCTTAAAGAAGAAATATGTGGGGAGAACGGAAACATCACCCATGACTTATCGAGCAAAAACAAGCCAAGGTGGGACTCGAGGCTGTTTTATTAACAGATGACATCGAGTTTATTAAAATGGCTCAGAGGCTGTTTCTCCTGCCAGACGAGAGGGAGCTTGGCCTCAATCCGAGACCTAACTGGAGGGAGCTGGTCCAATTAACACCCGCAGGGGAGGTCCATGCAAACACACACTTAACGCTACAAAAACTCACACAAATGCACATTCACGTAAATATGCTACACATGTTCACACACACACACACACACACACACACAGACAGCAAACAGGGAGGTCTAGAAGGGCTGTTAAATAAACCCTCAGGGACCTGGTAGCTCATAGCTCTTGAGTTAGCTTAGAAGTGTTGCACTTGCACACTTACACGCAAGCACGCTCACGGTTGTGGGGGTGGCTTTAGCCGGGCCATATAAAATTGTGGCACTCACCTTCAAATGGAATGGTGCAGTGGGCCCAGTAAATACTAGGGAGTGTGTGTGTGTGTTTGACCACAGATGCAGGTGGAGGTGACGTGTGGTTGGGCAGAAAGTGAGCACAGATCCAACTCTGGGCCTGGCAACGCTGCTTGCTCTCATAGCTACTCAAACACTGCAACCTCGCAGAGGTTACGAGCTGTGGTGTGAGGTTATTTGAAAGTATGCCTGGTGCTGCTGAATTTGCTTAGAGAAGGAGTTTCAATACCTGCCAAACTACATCAGTTGTTGTAGAAGTATTTTTGTAGATGATACACAGCAGTGAGTTAGGGCTTAGGCTACCAAACGGACATCAAGCTACATTATAACATGTTTCTACTTCATCCATCTCTTTTCTCAGCAGCTTATCCAATTCAGGATCTCAGGGGGACTGTTGCCTATCCCAACTGTCCCAGCCATTCATGCTCACGTTCACACATAGGATCAATTTAGAATCACCTACTGACCTAACATGCATGCTTTATCCAGGGAGAACCCATGCAGGCACAGGGAAAACATCCAAATTCAACAAAGAAATGCCGACTACCCAGAAACAGCAGTGCCACACTGCTGTGTGTCATATTAATTAAACATAAGCTGCAGCAACTACTGCTGAGTTATGTCCAACTATACGAGTCAGCTCAAGTCTGAGTGGGGCAACGATTGCACATCTGTTTACGTCATTCTTTTATGATCACTGGAACCATGCATTTGTCCTTCAGCTGTACTCCAAGTGTACTTAGAAACAAAATATAACAGGAAAGACTTCTTATCCATTGCGTCCACAGCTTTCCGTGTCCGCAAGCGAGTATGGTTCCGACCTCGATGTGGGACGCACGATGAGAGGCTCCATCCACAGTGACTACCACTGTACCTCAATGCTTTATTAACAGTCTGGGCTCTATCAAAACAACCACTTCTGGTAAGATTTCACACAATTTGCAACACTAGAAACTGGAAAATCCTAATACAATACATGGCTCATCTAGCAGGCGTCTGAATGTGTGTACGCAAATTAACCGTGGCTGACCTCTACGCAGCACAATCCACTCAGCAAGTTCATTTACACCCATGACCAAAGTATTTTGGCCCAATCAGACCCTCCACCAACATACACTAATGGCGTGTCACAGTCTTGATTTACTTGAGAATGCCTCGTCTGCATTGGACAGGCATAGCTGTGGACACCCGGCCCCTTCGGCATTGACACTCCTGGCCGAGATCCCTGGCATCCACAGCTTCCTGATTGCCAGCTGTCCTTGTCCTACTCTGTCTGTCAAATCCCAGTAACTGAGAAATAAACAAACAGTAAACAAAAGGGCCTAGTTTAGCACCATTGCCCACCACAGCATGACAACAGGTTTGCCACTCTCGCTGCCTGCCAGTGCTAACAGAGCCATGCACTTGAGTTGGAAGCTTTTCCCTATCTTGGAAGCACTTATGTAGGCATTGTAATCAGTGTCAGTGGGTTTGATATCCAGCCCCAAGACAAATAGCATCAGGCAAACCAAGAATGAAGAAAAGCATGATTTAATGTCCCAACAGCATGAGCTTCTGCTTCTTAGATTGAGCAGAAACTCCTCACAGCACTGCTGAGGGTAAAAGCTTTGTGTCAAAATGTCTCCAGTTCCCCCCTCTTTCTTATTGTCTCAGCCTGTGGACATCTGCTCGCTACAGACACAAATTCCCCTAAAGTTGAGACACCAAGAGAACACAGGACTATTAATAGGCTTCCTGCTCGTAAAAGAGATGTGGCTCATGTGGATGTGGATCAGGTTTTTTGGAGGGGAGTTTGATATACATGTAATACAATATTAGTTCAATTGTGATGCACCGTCAGAGGCCCCCCTCTATGAAAATCTGCATGAAATCACTGTCTGGGCAAGGTCGTAAATCACCAATGATGTTGTTTATTATTGCAGTACAGTTTTATGGAGGGCGGGCACTTTGCTGGGACGTCCCGGAGAGGAATGCCCAACATGGGATCTGCTAGGTAGTGGTGCCTTTTATTTCTACAAGGATGTGGGTGGGAGTTCAGTGAAGATCAGGCCTCTTGAGAATTACGTGGTTACTGTTAAGACTGATTAAAGTACTGTGAAACCTACACGTAACAGCCGGGCCATACATCGCCCTGCAAAGGTTGGTAGAACTCGCCAGAAATGAAAGACCTGATAGAGGACTTTAAACCCGATGAGTGACACGAGCCAAACAGACACAATCTGGCTCTTGTTTTTATTCCCGTCTGTTTTGTCCGAGCAGCCAGAATGGCTGGCCGACACTCTCGACACCCACTTTTTCTTTCTCAAAATGTCTGGTCTGGTTGTGTCTGACTAGTTCTGCCAGGTCTCTGAACATCGGGAAAACTTATCAAAGAGAACAGACCTCTATTCTGTGAGAGAGCAGCGCTCCGCTCCTCGAAAGAGAAATCCAGTCGGGACCTCAGACACCACTTAGTCTTTCAGCTGTTCAGAAGTGGGAAAAGCACATTAGAGGTCATTGTGCTGGTGCATTCCGATGGCAGCGCCCCGACTTGCTTTGTCCAGCCTGGCAGACACACATGCCTCTCCCTGGCCATCACTCCCTCTCCATCTGAAGACATAATTGATCTGGATATTAAACGGGCCATGTGGCTCTAAATAAAATTCCATGCATGCTTAATTCTCCCACCGTGGTTTTGGAGGCCAGACACTTTCTTCCCTGTCCAGGCTAGTGTAACACACTGGACTGTCTTAGCTGTGACCACCTCATAAAATGAGGCTCATAAATATTTTTCATATGTTATTTAAACTAACTCAGCTCTCTTTGAATTGGAGTGGTTCGATAAGCGTAAATTATGCATGGAGGCTCCGTTAGGCTATTAAGATAGAACTACAGCATTCTAAATATTAGGTTATATTTTGGCTCAGGTTCCAGAGACTCAAACATGCATGATGCATGTTATATATTGTTGAAGGTATCAAGTAAACTTTCTCACAGGAATGAAAAAAAAAAATCAAATTAAGGAGAAATTCACCCCCATATCAAATGTGCATTTTTTCTGCTGAGCTGCCATGTATGCTAGCCATCTAGAGTGTTTTTGTGGCTTGTCCAGTTTTGGGGCTATAGAAATCTTTGACTCTTTTCTTGTGGTGTTGGAAGCACCAAAAAAATCTGCAAACTTTTTTGTCGCCTCCCTAAAACAAGCAGTCAGCTAGCTACCTTCAGCTCAGATGAAAGGGACACCCTTAATCTTTACATATTAGGAACTATTTTCTTTCTACAAAATCAAATCAAATCAAATCAATTTATTTATATAGCACTTTTCACAGGATAAAAAACACAAAGTGCTTCACAGTAATATAAAGCAGAAATACATAGAATACATTAATAATCAAACATACAGCACAAATCTAACTAAAAGCCAACCTAATTAAGCTGCTTTTTAAAAGAATAAATACAATCAAGGCAACATAATGATGGAGGGAGAGCATTCCACAACCTGGGGGCCACCCCTCTAAAAGATCTATCACCTCTGGTCTTAAAACGAGTTCGTGGGACTAACTACAGCCTTTGATTAGATGATCTCAGGCTGCGAGAGGGAGCGTACCAAAGAACTTTGCAAAAGGAAGCGTGAAACCAGTGACCAGATGCTCTGAGAATGGACAAATGAATGGGATCCTCCTTGACTGAGATGTAATGCTAGCTCGCCTGGATCGTGGATGTAGACTTCTTCCTTCGGCTGGTCCCTTTAGGGGTCGCCACAGCAGATCATCTGCATCCATCTATTTTATCTCTGGCATCCTCTGCTATCCTCCTTCACTTTTGTAGACAGAATACAGACAATAGTTCCCACATTAAGGTGCTAATAACATAACAAAGCATGCAAGTAAGACAGTTTATACAGGTTTTCGTCTTCTCAGCAGAAAAATATATAACTTGGATTTGGGGTTGAACTGTGCCTTTAACAGAGATGCAATCAAAAACAGTGTAAAGAATGTTTTAAGAGACACTTAAGACGCAGGCATTTAGAGAATCCTAATGTTATGTTATACTCTAACAGTCACAAAGACATGTCTAAATTCATATGTGGCTTTGATGTGTTAAAAAAAAAGTCATTGTTGTAGTCATGGGGAAGATTAATAAAGGGATGTGATTAGCATGTGTGTGTAAAGGGTATGGGCTGTTGTTTGGTCTAGACTTGTAAGAGCTCCAGTTTCTGTTTACTTCCTGGTAGGATTAGTGTCTGAACCCTATGGCATCTGTGTCAATCTGGACACTGGTGGTTAGTCATGGTGGTTGTGGGGGGGGCAGTAATGTTGCTCTTCAAAAAACAAAAATGTTAAATTTTAAGTTGTAGTTTTAAAGAAAAGGGAACAAAATGTCAGCAAAGTGTAACAGTTCACAAATCAGTTTTATTAATTTAAACACAATCAAATAATAATGTCAAAAACATCTGTACACATAATTTGCAGACACGACAATCTTTTGCGTTTTTTTTCCACAATGAGGCCCATGTAGTGTAAAGTATTTCCAGTTTGCATTTATGATTGCAACATAATTAAAAAAAAGCGTGCTGTATGAATCTATAAAACATTTCCTCTATTTACCTACCATTACCTTGATCTAGCAGCAATATGTAGATACCCCGTGTGATTGCCGGGGCTGGGGGGAGGGGTACGTCAGAAGAGAGAAGGATTTGAATTGAAATGTAAAAGGACAACAGTGATCATGTGCAAAGGAGGGAAAGAAATTAGAAACAGAACGAGTCGGTTTCTGTTTAAGAAATTCACAGTCGATAGCACATGTCCTGTATGTTCACAAACCTCTCGAAGTTAGTGGCTTTTCTCTCAATGCTAATTATGGTTTCCCCGTCCACAGATGCAGAAGCGCTACGAAAAAGGGCTTCGTGTACTTCAGCTGCTTCAAAGAGGGACACAGAATGTATTCTCAAAGTCGAAATAAAAACACTACAGTATACAAAATTACGCTTGCTGTACAAGAGTTGTTATAGTGCTTGTATAAAAGATAATAAAACCTATTCAAGCCTGCTTTTTTGTTTGTTTTTTTCAAACATCAGATTTATTCAAATTTGACATTAAAATGGCTCTCAGAAATTCCCGTCTGCCGTATCCAAAACCCTCGTCAGAATTGTGTTTGCCTTTGAATATATGGGGTCAGGGCTGCAAGCTGGTGAAATGCCATAAGGACACAATGTTGTGAGCTACCTTCCTGCATAACTAAAGAAAAAAAAAACAATGTATATTTTCCCTTTGATATATGTGTCGTATAGTAAGAAGAGACCTGTTGTTCTATATAAAGTGTGTGACTGAAGTTTCCTGTAAGGACGAGAAAACATCACAGAGTGAAAAGAAAGGTCCTTGACACTTGACATCCATGCTTTTGGTCTTGACAAAACAATTTATCACAAAATCCCAATATCTACATATTTTGTTTATCGAACGTAACTTTAACACATCAACACTTTCAGGCGTCCTCGCACAAGCTTATGTGCGATGGGATGCCTTTTCTTTTAAACTTCAATGAAAAAGCATTGCCATCTTTCAAGAGCATGTACCTAAAATGAATATAGGAAGGAATAGTCCAGTGATTACAAACTTAGACACACACACACACACACACAAAAGATTTCCTCTGTACATGATTGTCTCAGCATTGTAAATAAAGTTTTTTGTAATTTTCTTAAATTATTAGAAAACCCCCTTTTCTTCTCTCTTCCATAAAAGTCTTCCTCTCGCTGCGGTGGAAATCAATAGTACTTTGTGAAAGGCACGAGTCTTTTATCATCGAGGTACCTTCTCAGTGGTGCGGTGCCACTCACAAAGTGTCTGTTCATAAATAAGAAGCACAGAGCTCCCAGGCCGACGCTTTACAGAGGAGCACTTCCTTTGTCTTTCTGCCCCACAGCCAAGGGGAGGCTAGGAAGTGGGTAAACAGAGGAACAGAAATAAAGCGGAGGCGAAGAGCAGACGTGGGGCGAGCCAGAGGGACGCAGAAAAGTCCCCACCAGTAGCTGTGGGCCCTGCAGTTCGCTGTAACTGAGTTCTGGGGCGAAGTGAGGCGAAGCGAGGCGAGGCCATCAGTAGCTCTGCTCTCCTCACAGGTGTGAACCCTGACAGAGTCCCGGCACAAACAGGGGGCTGTAAAACACTTTGACAGCTTCAGAAAGCGGCCAATTCACAGTAACCAGGGCAAGCAGCTGCAGCGCCGTAAATTCACCTCGCTCTCTCTCTCTCTTTCTCTCTCTCTCCTTCGCTTCGCCGGAAAAAAGAAAGAAGGAAAGAGTTTAGGGTTAAGACGATGTGTGACCGTATGTCAGCACATTAACCGTGTGCTCAGTCTTTTTTCCGTTCTCCTCTTCTTTTCTTCCTATGTAGTGACAGACAGACGCCAGGCAGCACAGCAACACGGCTGTTTTTTTTGTTTGTTTTTTTGTCTTTTTTTTTTTCTGAGCTGTGGGGTCCGTGGCAAGCGTGGGATGGGGCTGGAGGGCGAAGGTGAAAGGTTGTGTGGTGTGCCGAAGCGGAGCAGGGGGTACACGTTGGTGGTGTGGTGCTACAAGTACTCCAGGTCTAGAGCATGGTGGAGGGCCATGAGGTCTGAATGGCTGGAGATCCTCCAGAAGGGCATGTTGTGCTGTGGGTGGAAGAAAAAGCATATTTTTAGTTTTGTTAAACACAAAACTCAAAATTCTCAAACGAATTAAAAAACGAATTAATCCGTTTTTTAAAATGATCTTTTTAGCCATTTACATGAATAAAAATGACTTCTATTCCAATCAGGAAAATGCACCTTAGAGTATAAAAGAGTAAAATTGCTAAAAAAAGATGTTAATGAGCAAAATATTTATCAATCCTTTTAGTTTATTAAAAGATGAGTGCATTTGTTTCTTTTTATGATTGCAAATCATATCAATTCATTTTGGAATAAGTTATGGACAAAATATATACTTTTTAGTCAGCCTTTAACATTGAACACACATTGTTAGAATTGGACAGACCAACACTTGCAGGCCTTCTAAACTGATTTCTTATTCTTTATACTGTGGTAATATGTTTAGTGAATGAAGCAAGCCTGGTCCACTCACCAGGAAAAGCAATCATATCATTAACGCACCCCACCTACTCCTCTTGCTCCCTTGTGCATAAGTCAGCGCAGTCAAATTGTACATCTGTACCTGTAACTAATTTCTTTGCTGCATCAAAGTGGAGTTTTATACCACCAGACTAATGCACTGACTGTCTTTAACTTGAACAGAAATGAACTCCCCACAGTGTCTTTTGAATGAACCTCCTGCCTGCCAGTGTGTGTTTAGGACAGTGCAAATGAGCTGTTGTTCCCAGGCAAAGGATGGGGGGAGAAACCTGAGTCGTAGAGAATGAAAGGAGCTTGTCAGGTAGAGTCCTCAGCTCCTCAGTGTGTGGAGCCCATTACCCTCCCCTTATCAAAGGTATGGCCTCTCCCAGGCGTATGTTCCGCTTAGGAGAGCCTGCACTGACCCTTAAAAAGCTCTTTTGCTTTTTGTTTTGTAAATTGTCTTTGCTTTTAAGTTTAAAAGCTGGCGATGTTATCTCTGCTGTCTCTCCCAAGCGAAGGCAATAACTGAAGACAGGGATTGTGAATTTTTTCTTTCTTTCTTTCTTTTTTTGTAAGTGAAGGAACGAGAACAGGGAGAAGTTTCAGACTTTTGCTTTTGTAGTTCCACGATGTGTCACGTCTGATATGCGCCTCCTGACGGGTGAAATTGTTGTGTTATTTCACCTTCTCTCTGATGTTGACACAGAAACCTTTTACTGCATGGCATGTCGCGGGACTTGCACCACTCAAATGGAGGGAAAAAAAAACACCTTATTCTTCCATCAATGTCACTCTCCAACAACTCAAAGCTGAGTAAAAATATTTGCATCTTTTTCCACAATCATCCCTCAAGACCACATTCCCAGGGCGTGTTCGCCTTTTCATAACACAGAGCTATTGCTTTACGCTTTTATCCAGGGTAAAGGCTCTTACTTCTCTCTAATAGCTGCCTAATCGCTCTGCGTTGGTCCTCGTGCTTTTGCTCTGTTTACGGAGAAACAGGTGAAGAAGGAACTGGAGGACTTTCAAAGGGAAACTCAATGTCTTCAGCGTGACACGGCGGCTCACCATAACTGTCAGGGAAGTATTCTCCTGAGCCGCTGATTAATTTGCTAAAGAGCGTGTTTGCTGTGTGAGTCTCACATGCAGCATTTGCTTTACATCCAAACCTGACAGGAATGCTGAATGCACAAGATCTGGAGCAAGAGCCAACAAGTAACATAAAAAAATGGGGAAGAGAAAAAAAACCCAGCGAGACATCAAATTCATCTGAACAGATACTGTCATGCTTCCTGCAAGAGCGTGGGCGGAGGTCGGCAGCGAGCCCTCCTTGATCCATCTCGTGCTAACAGGCTTGTCATTGCAGTAAATATTCTAATTTCATCAACAATGATTTAAGTCGCCTTTATGTGCGCTCTATTTACGATGCGCCTTCAACATGCCTGAAAGGGCTTGTCTAGCGTTACACATACAGCATTCACACTGCTCAGAGCACCAAGCAGGAATATATAATTATGCCATCTCTCCCCTCCCCTGCTCTGTAAACCTGAGATGGTGGAGGAAGAGGGCTGATTACACACTACAGACTTTCTCTCTTGTGCTTGGATGCCGTATAAGAGGATAAACAAATGAAAGCAAAGCAAAGACTCTTGAGAAGGAAAGCCGGAGCGCTGATTCCTTTCTTTGGAAAAGTATGGCAGGTATGTTCGGTGTTCCCTCACAATGAACTCCTGACCTTATGAAAACTACTCACGAGTTCTTTGCTCCACACTTTATGTGGTTCTCATGGTTGTTTTCACCATGTAAATATACCCTAAAGACATACAAGTGTGCATGTTGTTTACTTTATCTATTATTTTAAAACCTCTTACCTTTTTTGAGCCTTGCTCCTCTTCTACCCCATCTCCAACAACAATGTAAACAACTTTCCTCCCGAACCGTTGAATTACTCTCTCAAAGCAGCTCTCCTTCCCTGTGAAGAAGTCGAGGGCAGTTTCTTAGTAAAGCATTACATGGATGCAAAAAAGATATGCAGGCACACACACGCTCAAAGTTGATTTAGGAGCCGAGGGTGACAAGAGCCTCTTTAAAACACCAAATTTACAAAGAAGGGAAGAGTGTAAACAGTGGGTTCAGGAAGGAGATGTGATAAGATTGTCCCCCAGATAAAGACAATCTTAAAAGCATTAACTTTTCCCCTCTCCTCTTTAAATCTAGAACAAACCGGCAAATCAGTCCTGCTACAGGGTCTGGTTTTGAAGACCACTGTGCTCCACTGTGTCTCTTTCTCTCCCTGAACTCTTAGCTGATGGGTCAGATATTGATGCAAGAGTGAAACTTGATGTTTATTTTGCATTTAAAACAGTAAAAAAAAAAAAAAAAAAAAGAAAGAAAAAGGGGAAAGTGAGGAGGTAAAAGCAGGAGGAGGAGGAGGAAGAGGACGGGGCCCTGTTGCGCTGGAATGACATAAATGTGCAGAAGTGGTTTCATATGCAGAGATTGAGCAGGAGAGGCCTGAAGAGGCCCAGCACAGGCCCAGCTCCAAGAAAATAATCCTAGGCTGATTGGGACTACTCCTTCACACAAGAACATCAACCCTCTCCGGTGACTCAATCTCCCACCCCGTCCGTGCCTCAGTCCTGTCACTTTAGCAGCATGTATGTTGTAACTGTTTTTACCTGACCGGGGTAAAAATAAATAAATAGACATTTGTGTCTCAAAGCCACATACAAAATAAAACAAACAAGCTATTTCAGAATGCAGTCTTTACCTATTTTGGTTGCACTATAAATATTCTCGATAGGAAAGACAATTCCCAATCCGTAGAGCAGGACCTTAGCCAGGGCAGGGATGAGCTGCGTGGTGGTCACCAAGATATTCACACAGTTTGACCTGCAGTAACAAAGACAGAGGAGCAGAAAAAGAGGTGACATCATTCAAAATCACTCTGTGGGAGGACAAAAGAAAACACAGTGTGCAGAAAATAAAGACACTGCAATGAATCAGTTCTTTAAATAGTGTCCTGCAATGAAGGATTGCGTTTCAGCTCCTTTTTCAAGTCGGATCTCCTAGCACACGTATTTTTCTAAACGAGCAGATAAAGACTGTCTAAAAAAGACAAATGCATAGCGTTGCTGTTTTCCTAATAATGTGGGAGTATGGGGTACTCCACACCACATACAAATTTATATATCTGCGGTATGGGACTGTGTAAAATTTTCCTCACTGGAGTCCTACCTTGAGTGGATTAATGTTAGTGCTTTCAGTGCCAGTGTTAACCAGGAGTCCGTCAAGGCTTCAATTTCTGCTCGCAATTGCAACCAGGCTTCCCTTTTGGCCGGGCCCAGCAGACCTGAAACGCAGGGTAACATTGTTTAGGTTGGACGGGCCCCCCGAATACCAGCGAAGTTTTCAAAATTTACCCTGACCAAGTGGTGGGGGCATGTGTGCTTTTAGAACGCACGTACCAACATGAGCGTACCCTCACACAAACACACACATAATGAGGGAACGTACATCTGCAAAGTCATTTCTACTCAAAAAATCAGTACAGGGCAGCTCTGCTTGCCGGGGATTACCTCCAACGTTATTTTTGTAGGTGGTGTAAATTTCTTTTACTCGTCTGTAGCGGAAGGCCAGCTTTCTCATCCAGTCCACGCCTCCCCGTACGCCTGTGGCCAGACATAGGTTGGCACTGGTAGCTGCTGCATGGAAACCATCAGCGCTGAAGTTATACGTGCTAAAATAAGGGCAGAGAAAGAATGTGTTAGCACAAAACTGTTTCACTGTTCGTGGCGGCCGAGCATATGATGCATTTCTTGTTGACTAACTATGAATCACTGCTGTACCTTAGATCCTGGCCGTTGTCGTCAGAGGACACATCGTCGATGTGCACCTGGTCACATTCCTAAAATACACAAAACAATCACTTAATTGTGTAATGCGGGACACTTCCTGTATGTTCCCAGTATTTTTTGTGCTCCCTGTAGACATTCAGCCTCCCCATTTCCTTTTGAATTAGCTCTTCCCCTTTTTGATTTACTATGCAGCAGCTCAAAGGTCTAAATAAAAATAAACTGTACCATCAGCCTAAAAGACATCTAAAGATGTGGACACTCCTGCACATAACCAATAAGCCTCAATCAAGAAACTGTAAACACTCGCCAGGTTTCCTCCTCTATGTATAAGATTACAGATGAACAGACACACACACACACACACATATATATATATATATATATATATATATACACACACACTACATAGTAGAAGGACTAGAGCTAGCTAGTACAAGCATCTTGGCCCTAATGGTTTGTGCATGTGTATGTGTCTCTGTGTGTGTCCATCTCCAAACATATGCGCACACTCCTTTTCCCCTTTGGGGGTGCCTGGCTCCTCTTGGAAAGGTAGCAGGATTCTGCAGCCCTGCACTGATTCTACCGGTACACAGTAACACAATCCAGACTTTGGTAAATGTAACCTACTAGAAAAATTGAACCTGATGCTAACCGCCAATGAAATTATGACCTCTGATTGCTGCTGCGCCACACACCAACACAGCCCCAGGGCTAGTGAGCCAGCCAACCGGTAAAAGAGCGCAGGAGAAAGCAGACTAAAATAAAATCTGTTATTAGTTTTCCATTTATGGGAGCCCTCTAGTGCCTCCTCCTTCCTGCCCTCTTTCCACCCCATCAGTGGCGAAAGGTGAGGGAGTCCTGCCTTGGCATCTAGATAAGCATATGACATGTGGGGCAAAGAAAAACAAAGTAGCTCAGCTGCTATTTTTTTTCTTTGATGTTGTGTGGTTAGCAATTTTGCCATAAGGAGGTTCAGCAATAGCCTAGATAAGAGGAAAAAGGTTTGAAATTCATGTTATGTTACTTCTAAATTTGTTTCAGTCAGTTTTAATCCAGTGTGAATAACAGAGAGAGCACTTGATCCACCATGATTTAGTTTGTCTTCTCATTTTTTAGGAAGGCTAAAGATTTTAAAGTGGTTACGCAATTGCCAAAAAAGTTTGTCTCACCTGTTTAAAGTTATGTTAATAATTTCTCAAGAAAAATGAAACACGAGGAAGTGAATTCCTCTGGTCTCAAGTATGAAAAATCCCTCAAAACTTTTTGAGCTTTTTAATTAAGTTTCATCCGGCTGTTAAGACACCAAAACCTAGAAAGGACTTCCTTGTTTTAAGTCAGTCTAACTGAGGCCAAATGCTGACGTTATTACATTCCTCCCTAATGCTAGAGCAGGGTAAGGGTAAGGGCTTTGGACCGTAAACCTTTTTTATTTTACTGGTTCCCATCTGAACAAATTTTTCATCTCCCTGGATTTGTGGAGAGAGGGAGGGAAGAGCGACGTGAAGAAAAACTCAAACCAGCTGTTCTTTAACAGAATTAAAATCTTGACCCCCAACCCCAGCTCTAATGCAGCCATTCTCTCGCCAAGCCTCTCCCAGCAAGCCCCGAGATCCAAAGAGGAAAAGACTTTGACCCCGTGACCCTCTCCCCTCCTCTCTGGGGCTCTGGCACCCCGATAAGGGGGTGGAAGGGTAGAGAGGTGGAGATGGAGAAGAGAAACGGGTAAAGGCTGGGGGATAGAGTCCAAAGTGACCTCACATGGAGTGAGTTTGAAGCAATGTGTTTCAGAAGATGAACTGCCAACTGACATGGGTTGCAAGTGGGGACTTGTTGCTCTGTCGGCCTAATCTGTTTCCAGACACTCGCTGGCAGTTGAAGAACTCGACAATTTGTCCCAGCTTGAGGGTCTGTTGCCAACAAACTTGTAGACAATTTGTGTTCACAAATAATCCCCAAATTTTCCAGAGAATAGCTCTCAACCCAGGCATATTGTTCCACGTAATTCTGTAAGCAGTAGAGGCGTGTGTGCTTGTTTCAGAAAACAAAAACAGCATCCTGGGTTAACCTCATTACCCTCATTAAGCTTCGTTTTAAAGACCTCCCATTTCAACGTAAGTGACTGGAATGCTTTTGTTATCTAGTAATGATCTGCTCACGAAGCAGACACAATAGGCTGATGAGCAGCTTCTGCCACCAATTTCACTGAGTTGGTTACAAAATTCTATCCCACTTTATTGAGCCTTGTTTAAAACAGCTCCCTATATTCTTCACTTGTAATGTTTTCTTTCAGAGTATGACACCGAGCGTGTATCAAAGCATATCTGAGAACACTGTTAGCACGTTAATAATGGAGCTATTTTAGGTCGTACAAGCGATACTTCACTATGGCATGAAGCACATTAATACGTCTCTGTAATTAGGCCAAACTGGAGCCATTGTACCTGCTGCCTGATTACGAATGATTTTTCATGGATGGGTCCAAACATTTAACCTAATAAACACATCAAACCCCAACAAATGTAAAGTGTTAAACATTCAAAGGGGCCAAGAAAAATACAGGGTTTTGGAGTTTAAATGTCTGCACCATTTGAACTTCATTGTTTCTGAAATGTTTACATAGCTTTTTGATTATGTTACAATGCTTTATTAATAGATGAAAAGGCTTTTTTGGTGTGTGTGTGTGTGTGCGTGTGTGGATTTTGGGTTGCTGGATGAATGAGAAGACTCAACTCAACAATTACGTTTCCCAGCTGGGGCTGGCATAAACCTCTGCACTGGCTCCCTGGGAAAGCTAATAGAGGAGGTAGCTGTGGGTAATGTCGTACAGTAACTCTTACACATACTCATTAGGAGCCACTTCTGAAGGCCTCATAAACACCACAGGGCCATGAACAGAGCAGGTCGAAGACGACAGAACGAAGGAAACACTAGCAGGCTGTGGATTTTACAATAGTTTGTGAAAATTCAGTCAAAAGAGGGCAAATAAAAAAATGTACTTAATCACATGACCATAATAATTTATGACTTATATATTGCCACATTATGAAGGAGCAGTTTATTTGCAGTCGTGCAGGACTTCATAAAGTTAATAAATTATAGGGTCTTGAACTTGCTGTCGCTTGAAGCCTTAGAAGGAAAAATATTTTGTTTGTATAATCCTAACTATAGACTGACAGGCTTTCATGACGGTGGCACATTGAGGGGCAGTCAGAATTTCTTAGAACCTTTTGAACACCTCTTTTCCACTGAATCCCCCTGTTCTTCCCTCACCAAGCAAACAGTGGTCTTTCTAAAACCTACAATCACTGCTAACTTACACCAGATGTTCCTACTGTACTAAGAAGTGAAGACCCTCCACCAGAAGCAATTGCTCCTTATGCAAACACCAAGTCTTTCTGTGAAATTCATCAGTGGCGTTCTTTTCTTTTATCAGAGTTCATTCAGCTACCGAGCAGTTTTTATCTGTACAGGAAAGAAGAAAACGCAAACTAAAAAAAAAAACGAATTGAAGACAGGATGCTTCCATCTCGGCATCATTCACTCTCTCTTCCTTTTTCTGTCTGTCTTTCCACTAGTCTGCTGAAAACCTTTCACTGGGGAGGAAGTTATCAGAGCCCTCTTTGTTCCCTTGGCATCTGTCATTAAGCAATCAGTGATGACGGCATGAGTCTTCCTGTAGCCCTGGATCGAGCTCAGAGTGGTGACTGCAGCAGTCAGAGGTAGGGAGAAGAAAGACGGGGTAACTCTGCAATGCATGCTACCAAAACACAGAAAGGACCATGTTTACTCCCTCTTTGACCATTCCCCCCGCCCCCCCCGATGAAGGTCTAGGTCACTGCCACACAATAGGGTCCACTTTTTAGATCCAAGCCGCCCCCTCTCTCCCCCTATCTCATCTTCTCTCTCAGGTGAGCTGTGTGTTTTGGCCACCCACCCCACACCACAGTGTGAGCGATAACAGCCATCATCGCGAAATTCCCTGTGACCCTACAGGCTAATGCCATGTGAAAAAGGCTCATCCATGGTTCGCAGGTTCTCAACACTCTGCCGGTAGAGGCTGTCACCCCCCCCCCCCAGTGGTCTGTGACCCCCAGCAACTTCCTTCTATGTTCCCACCAAAGGCACCCCTGTCTAGGGGGGTGAGGAGGGTGCAGATGGGAGGGGGGCCTGTGATTATCTGGGGGTCAAACACAGGATGTGGGTAACAAAGGGAGAGTTCTTCAAACCCACTTCATTCCAATCCACAATCTGTGCTTGAACAGTCATGGAATTCAAACAGCAGTGCCAAACAAAGCACAGGTAAGTCTATGCTGGTTTAAAAAAATCCAACAACCAGGAAAGGGGGCACAGAGGGAAGCAAACTGCATTTTAACAAAATGTTTTTTAGAGCTCTGTAGCTTAAAGTTAGAAAAGAAAGAAGGGAAAAAGGCACACCCCACAGGTAGGCAACGAAAAGTATAAATTAGTTCTGTGTGATAGATGAGCTGCTCCTCATTATTTCTTATTTTTGGCACTTCAAATCCAAACCGCACCTCAAGGAGAGCAACATTAAATGCCATATCAAATCTCAGTCATTTCAGCATTTTCCCCCAGCAATGAACAAATCCGTAGTGAAGGAGTTTATCCCTGCCGAGTGGTGTGTTGTTTGGACAAATCTGTGCACTTTCCTATCTCTTCCTACACAAATCACGTTGCGCAGGTGTTGCATCTTTCTTTTTAACGCAAGACTAGAAAACTCCTGTAAAATTTCCTCATTTGTCACCAGACCGTAATGTTATATTTTCCATGAACCCTCAACCCTTAGTGGTGTATGAATCAGCTGTGTGAGGATAGTGGAGGATGGGGTTGATGTGGACCTCTGTGGAGCATAGATTGACAGGATGGCTTTGAAACCACCACTTTCTGTTTGTAGTCCTCCCAAAACACACCATCAACCCCGCCTTGAAACCTGATGGAGTTATGTCTGAGTGCAGCATCAGTGGCCAAGCAAATGATTAAAATAACCACATCACTGTGCGCAGACCCAAAGAAGCCCATCTGACAAAATATACCACATATAAAAATGTTGTAGTTTGGTTTCGGCAGCATGTTGAAAGTTGATGAATTAAAAAAAAAAGAAAATAAAGTTGTAATTTCTGGTTTCCAAGCTTTTTACTGGTGCAGATCTTCCCAGATTTATGTGCTATTATAAAGGTGTCTAACATGATGACAGTGTTGTGTTTTTGATTTCCTATGAATATACAAATAATCACTAATTCTGCTGTAGTGCTAATTGGGAACTGATCAAGTGCATGACTTAATATTGTGATGCAATGAAAATCACAGCTAGCATCACAGCCCTGCTTTCCCAGGAATAAAATCACCAAGAAATAAACTATCACTAAAAACACAATAAAGCTACCAGTCATATAGAATTGCAAGTACAGGACTGCATTTCTAAAGTGGGACATAAAACCAACAGAAAGGCTCCACAATAAGAGGCTCTGGAGGGCCATTTCAGCCAGTAGGAAAAGGTAACCGTGTGTTTCACAGCATCTCTCATTAACAGGCAGCCCCTGGGTGAAAGTGACAGAGGAGTTTTCAACCCTGTGACTGCAGGCTGGGAGCTATAAAAGGTAGTCAGCTTACAGTGTTACAGGATTGTTACACAGGCATGTGTGAGTGAATGTCAGCGTTTGATTATACACTTACGTATAGTATGCATGCGTTTCCATATGTGTGTGGGTATAGCTCCACGTGTTTAGAGTGTGTGAGTGTGTGCTGCACAGAGCAAAGAGGCATCAGTGGACTAATTTAAAATGTTCCCACCTTTAGAGACCTCTCCCCCTCTCTTGCCCTGTGAGTGGTTTGCCCCCATGGCCTTTATTCTCCAGACTGGGAGGGTTGTTTTCTCACCCAAGGAGGCGGGAGACGGCAGCCCCCGTACCCCACTGAGAGGGGAACACAGGGGGCTCGGCCAGCGAGAAAGAGGCCCCTGGTTCCCACATACTGCTCAGCATTAGAGTTCGGCCTAGAGCAGCACACCTACAGTAAACTCACACCCCGAGCCACAGCAGAGCTGTCAGTCTTCTCTATGCGCTCAGCCTCAGTGGACTTCATTATACACATCACTTCAGACCATCAATTAACTCCACATGCAATCCCCTGCCACAAAGGCATTCAGTGAGGCCAATCTGCTATATTTCAAAGATGATAACAGGTTTGGTATTGTCAGAGTATGATACTGAAAAAAAAAACCATTACATTGGATATTATTATTAACTGATTACAACCAGTATTTGTTCTGTTTTACAAATTGTAATAAAGTAAGTATTTGCTTATTTCTGTAAATACTGAAATACGATTTTTCTAACCAGAATAAAAAAAATTAATAGAGCTGAGATCTCCTCAGTATGGATTATTCTATACTGAGCATTTTTGATGATAGAAAACAGATCGTGCTGTTCATACAATCATACACCCTTCCTTTATAATAGAGCTTAATAACAAATGGCTTGTGTGGGACAATCGATCGAGAGAATTGCGCGTGCAAGTTGGGAAGGGAGGTCTTTTAGTGAAACTTCAGTATTTCTGGGACTCATATAAAAAACAGTGAACAAAAACAAGAGAGTGCTGATCCAGAAAAAAATGGTTGGAGGAAAAAGGGCGAGGGAGAGAGAGAGAGAGAGAGAGAGAGAGAGAGAGAGACATAAGGGGGAAACTGATCCCTGTTGACCCCTTCGGCATGCCCTCTTTCTTTTTATGACTTTCCCCTGAATCGTCACTCACCAGCTCTATCAACACAGTCCAGCCTCTATTCACACACAGATATACACACACACTAACACGCATTATACGCTGTGGCCTGTGGCATGTGGCCTCTGCAGACTCAGTACAATATTATGCTTAATTGTGGTTTTTAGATGTCCTATAAAGCAGCCCAATGCTTTAAAAACTTTGAATCTATTTTTTTTAAAAGAAACCATATTCAAATTAAAACAATTAGGAATTATACACACTTTGAAATTTTATTGAGCTCCTATTTAATATCCTCGTGCAGTGGCTGTCAGAACAGTGTTAAGACTTAGATGGACCACTCACACACCGTCAGGCCACTAACTCTGCACCTGTGTTTCTGCACAGCCTCTGGGGTCTCCCTTTATGGCTTAGACCAAATTAGATGGACCATATGCATTTCTGCACATGCTTAAATACATAACTGCTGCTGGCTGTGGTATTTATAGTTGGACTCTACTTGGCTCTATCTGAGATGCAGGACCGTAAATCAGCAGAGAGGAAATACAACTGGTTAGGCATTGCTGAGACCTGGCACTTAACACTCACACTGGCCCTGCTCAGCTTAAGAGGAGAGATCAATATGCCTTCAAGAGAATGTCACTCCTCCTCTGGTATGATTGTTAGTGACAATTACTGCAGAATCTGCAGAGACATCTTTACACTGGACACTGTAAAAAACATCCCTACCTAAGCATACTACACCAATTTAAGCTGCAAAAATTGAGTCCTTAAAGCCTAAACACAAAATCGAATAATACTGTTGCTGAGACAGAGCAGAAGAAATGTGTGTGCTGGAGTTTTGAAGTAGACTGAGCTGCCAATTCATCTGCGAACACTTTCAAAGCACATGAAAGGATCAAAACACGGGACAGATGTTGAGCAAAACCACATTTAAGCATTGTCACAAAGTGCCATTTTTTTCAAATGATTGGGGCACATCTATTAAATAAAGTGCAGCTACAACAGCTTCTACATGGCCAGGGCATAAGGAAATATTTAACCAGCCAATTGTAGCCAATTAACTTTGATCACGATGACTGCGCTTGGGATCTCAGTCGCTTGTCTTTTTGGGGGAGTATGCATATTTTCTTTCTCTGTCTCCCTGTCTCCCATGTTTTTTGCTCGTTCTTGGGCTTGCTTCATGTAGCACAGCCGAACATGGTGGTGAGTAATGAGACTTGGCAGGCCGGCCGCAGATCTCTTCACACTTAAGTATCAAACAAAACATTTCCTCTCCTGTGAGGTCAGCATAAAGCAGGACTCTGAGGAAAAAAGCAGGGCCGGTGGGATCAGATTCACCGGGAGAAAAACGTTGAGGCGTGGACAAAAAAAAATGCAAATATAGAAAATGCGATAAATTTGTGGACAGTTGCTTGTAAGTTGGGTTTGACATTTGAATCTGCACAGAGGGTATGCTTCATACCCATGCATGAAGTGTGCGTCACATTTGTTTCGACAAATGTGACACACATTTTTCTCCACGCCTGATCCTTCTATTCCTGTGCCCCAGGGGAAGATTTTACACTAACTGTACATGAATCAGGGGGGCAAGGGAGGGGAGGTGGCAGGGATTTCATGCTGTGACAGAGGGGGTCTGTGGTGTGGTGTAGGTGGACAGCGACACCAAGCACACAGCATGACACACAGACAGAGCAGCCACAGAAACACTAGAGCCTGACAAATTGGACTAGCTGCCATGGGAGTGGGAAGACAGTGGAAGTGGGGGAGGGTGGGGGGGGCAGGGCTGGTGACCCAGGAGACTGACAGCGCATGTAAAATTCATGCCATCGCTTATGGGATAGATTACTAAGAGATTAGTAAAAGAGGCTCTACGCTACGTAACAGTTGCTTCTTTTACTAAAAAATTCTCACACCCCAGCACATCCACTCCTCTGGCCACTAAAATCATCAGAAAGTAAACAGAAGGCAATTGCGCAGAAACAAAACATACCAGAGTAAAACACACACAAACAGACTCACCTCTAAGTCGTTAAAGAATAAGTGCGTGTCGGCCAAGTTGAAGATCATTTCTTCCATCCTAAGGCCTAACGATACAGATGTTGGCGGGTCCTACAGAAAACAGACAAAACGAATTAAATCAAACCACATTATTCTGAAACGTAAGTGTGTGTGTATATACTGTATGTTTGAAGAAGCAATGCAGAACAGTAAATAATGAAGTTCCCTGCAAGTCTGTCAATTAACACAGAAATCCCTTTAAATTCTACAGCAAGGTATTCCCATAAAAGAAGACATTAGGCGCACTTGAAAGTTTCAGCCTCTGTTTACGACCCTCTGAAAGGGACCAGAATAGTCATCAGAAATGCCACAGACAGACAGAATGAACCGAGTAAAACCATGCCTGTTCTTGGGAGGGGCAGTTAAATGGAAGAGCCGGGGTCACAGCCTCATCGTAAATAGCCCATTCTCCACATAGTTGTCCAGATGCATCATCTGATTGCTCTCTACATGATAAAATACGATTCCCTGTAAAGTTTCTTTAGTTAACTGACAGTCACTCCGTTTGTTCAAAATTAAAACTGCAAAATAATTCAACAGTTATATTAATCCCTATATCAGGCGCAACGACAAATTCCTCCTTAAATTGTGATCTCTGCCAGCAATGTGACACGTGCTGCAATGGTGATATGGCTGCACTGTCTGTAAGATAATACCAAGAGAGGAGTGAACAACACTGTAAATAGTTAATGAGCATGTGACAATGTGTGCAGTTTTCCTTTTAAAAAGTTAACGTATAGGCAAAATGTCATCAGATCATTCTCACATGAACATCTACAAAATTATAAACCCTAATGACTGTAATTGTAATGAAACTTCTTATGATTATAAAATTGTCCATTGTTTATTGTTGTTTTACTTTTGGGTTTTCATATATATTAATATTACTATTAATTAAATAACTTGAGAGATATGGTTACATTCTTTTTTTGTGTTTGTTTGTTTTCATACATATTGAATGCCGTTTACATTTTAAGTCTCAAATCAGCAGAATGTCCTCAGCAAGTAAAGGACAAAGTCAAGACAAAAGCTTCCCGTGGAGGAGGTTTTCCTGCAGCTGGGTCAGACCTGTATAAGAGACAAGCCAGGCAGGACCAGAAGCAGGGATTACAGAGTTAAACCACCTAAAGACACACCTGAGCTTTCCGCTGATTAGCTGTCACACCCCACAATGCTTATGTTTTCTCTAAAATGACAGAGTACAAACCACACAAGGAGAGCTCAATCCCCACTTCTAGAGGCTTTCTCCTTCCTCTTAACCTCCCAGTTTGAACCAATCTTTCAGTAAGAATTCATCAAAAATAATTAGCCTCCCACATGAACAGGCTACCAGCTCCCTCTTCCCAACCTCTGGCGCTGTTGGGTGATTCACTCTTATGGACTGGTTTGGTGGGAAAAGGCTGCCTTTTCTGCACAAGTGAATCCTTTCCAATTAAATCTAAACAATCAGTCAGTGAGGGAGTTAAGAATACAAGCAGGCCAGAAGGCCAAAGTGCTGCTGCTGTCACTGCTCCAGCACCACCTGTCCTGAGATGTCAGTGGCTTTAGGGGGACGCCAAGCCTCCCCCTCCACCCTCAAGCCCCTTACCAATAACAACCCCCATCCCCACCCACTTTAAGCTCTCGCTCTGGCCAGCCCAGTACCAGCACAGCTGGCCTTAGCCATCAGCTTTATGGGGGTGAGCTGCCTTGATGCCAATTAAAAGAGCTGATAAGAACAGCAGTGTGTTTATGTGTATGAGGGAGAGAAAGAGAGGGAGAGAAAAAAAAGTCAGAGAGTGTGCGGGTGGGAGGTCACAGAGAGTGAGCGAAAGTGTGGATGTGCACTCACTCAGATACACATCTATTTATAGCAAGTTTAGAGCAGCTAGGAGGGAAAACTGGTTTGTATCTTTTTTGTTTATGCCTGGCATCAATGAAAGCCAGAAAGGAGGAGAAGGGGGTGTAATGGTTGTGCTGGTTGTTAGTCTTAACTTTCCTTTCTAAGGGAGTTTATAGATCTGTATTTCAGATAAGGGCATGGCAGAGGGACAAAAACATGGGTTACAAAGTGAGTAAAATGGGCAGAAAGGAAGAAAAACAGAGAACAAATGAAAAAATCCAGAGTGGCTCTAGTTAGCTGTCGCATCCTATATGAGCTCTGATGGAATGGGCCATTATGGAGTTTCAGAGGAGCACACTGGAGACCCTATGTGTGATTATGTGTGTGCATGGTGCAAGAGACCCTCATGACGGAGCCACAGCTCCCTAAGCGTTTAGCTCTCTCTTTACGCAGCAGGCAGGGCTGGGAATAAAGTAAATAAACAGTAAAGGGTCGTGGGGCAGCCCTCTTTCACCCCCAAAACAAAACACTACCCCCATCAAACACCCCTCATACCAGAACAAAGGCATAGAGCATGGGCTGCAGACGCTAAGCTCTCTGACATAGGAGTAATATGTCATTTAAAAACAAAACAAAACAAAAAAAAAACACTGTTCTAAAACAAAATTAAAATAAAAATGCATATTAGTTTATGAATTTCATATTAAAGTCAGTTTTTATATCTAGAAGGGGAAAAACAGACAGGATGATGTACTTTAAAGGAACCTATGACCTCAATATAACCATGAGAAAAGCATTCTGGCTTATTTCCCAAATTATTTGTTTTGAAGGTTTAAATTTAGAGCAGCAATTTACATGAAACAACAAATAGAAAACCCTGGAAAAGTAAACTCTTCATTTCATGAGCACACAAAGTTACATGGGATAGAAATGACCTTTCGCTATAATAAAAATATATGTTTGTTAATACATACATATTTGTTGAGTCTTAATTAAGCCAGGTTTGGCAGAATTTCTAAGCTCTAGTTTGAGTTCTGGCTGGGCTGTATTTAGTGGACTCACTCTCCTGCCAGGGTCTCCAGGGAGATCCCTGCCTGAAAAGGATGGATTGAGAAGCACTTAATTAAACTAACAATGTGGCATTTCTGAAGGAGAAAGGAACACTCAAGATGTGTCAATAGACATCCAGAGTGCAACTGTTGTGAGCCCCTACAGCCGGGCCATGCAGAGCCCCCCAACAGCTGCAAAGGTTTTTGTCAGATCTCATTGGACTTATTTAAAAAAAAGAAGAAGCAATTATCTATACATTGAGTTCTGCTCTATCGTCTCACTGTGGGGTTAGAGCAAAGTGAAATCTATCCTCTGCCCCCCTCCTTTTAATATTCATGCATTTTTCTGATAAAGTGAATGGCTACTGCCAGAGTCTGATGTCACTCACCCGTCCATATCTGTTGGCATAAGAACCCGTAAGCAAGGAATGGAAAATGATGATTGTTTCATCTAGGTCCCAGATGAAAACTCGCTAGAGAGATGGGGGGCAGAGGTGGGGGAGAAAGAAACAAAGAAAAACAGAGAAAAAAAGAGGCAAAATCAATGGTGCACTCTGTAGGGCTGCAAGGTGATCCTCCTGGTCAATAGGCCAGGAGCGTATTCGTGTGCCACAGGGACCAGGATCCATTTGCTTGGGTTGGTCACCGCAACACTTCTCTCACCACCCCACTACACACTTTCCACCCCATGCCCTTTACATTAGAGTAATCAATAGTGACAAACTAATTAACTAGATATGTTAACATGCCATGATGTCAGTGTTTTAATGGCTGCTATTATCCTCAGTCAAATTAATAACATATTAATGAAGAGTCCTCGAAATTACAGCAAGTTTATTTTGACACATGGTCACTATCAAAGTGGGCAATAACACCACTGTAAGCAACAGCAGTCTTCAGTGCGTGGTATATATGTAGTACGTATCTCATCAGTGATGACTCACTTAATCACATGCCTTATTGTTTATTTATACGATATACAAAGCTCTTTATAGATGATATGCGTTTAGTGATGACTCATATATTCCACAATGCATTAATAATGCATTTAAAGTTAAGGAATCATGTCTTTAAGTATTAATGTCCATCAAGTGTTAAAGTTGGTGTGGCAGCCATATAGTAAGTGGATTAGTGTCCATGTGTCTCAGACAGGGCGAGGCTGTCTGTCGCCAAGGTAGCGGGTTCACCCTACCTCAAGGTCAGAGTCGGGCGGCGGTGATGGGTTGTTGTTCCTTCTTCCACGGCCACGTGACTTTCCATCCGAGGCTCGGCGCAATCGATCTGAATCTGAATCTTTAATGGGGGTTGATGGACTGTGGATGGTACTGTACTCTCCTGAAAGGAAGGAAAGAAGGAGGAAGGGGAGTATTAAAAGAGCGCACAGAAGACGAGCTTCTATTTGCTTTTAGAAAAGATGTTTAAAGGGACCATTTGTCTTGATGGAGGACAGACAGCATCCTGCAGGAGACATAACTTATAAGACTGCAGGTAACAAGCATGCCATAAATCAGATGCAGAACAAATAATAAAGGCTACTGTGCGCCATACTGATTTAATAAACAAGAGGTAATGGAGTGCATGTCAACTGGAAATAGCTAAAATGTCATTTATCTAAATTGAATGATGGAAGCATGAAATTATATTTAGTTAAAGCCAGCTGTCTTCAGTGTGAATGATGACAATTTCAAATGCAGTTATAAAATTCTGAGTGGCTTATAATATACAATCTCAGTTGCAAGATGATGCATTAATGTCACATGAAATTATGGAAAACCTTACATCTGAATTCTGTTTTATCTCACCACTAGATGTAGTGGCTCAAACTGTCCTGTTCTTATGTGGTGGAAGTGAACATTTTCTCTGCTATGGAGAGAAAATTCCAAGAGACACACACCTCTTACCAGAATCAAACTGGTGATATTCAGGTTATACAAGGCAGGTCTAACTGAGGTTTAATTCCTACCTGCAGGGTTGTCTGTGAGGGCTTGGCTGGTGATGCCAGTGGGTGGTTCCTGGAGGGTGTAGGTAGTGGTGGTTGAGGGCGTGCTGGGGCTGGTGTTGTTACTTGTCATGTAGGGTGAAGTGTAGGGTGAGCTGTTATAATACTGAGCATACTGGCCCTGGCCGAAGGCTGGATAACTTGGGTAGTCCTGTGGAGTAAGTAGGGTAAATTGAAAAAGTTGATAACTTTTAATTAGTTGATTAAAGTGATGGCATTTAATTTAGTCAGACACATGTAAGGGAATAAATTGCAACCAAAAACTGCTTGAATTCTTTCAGGGGAAGAACACTCATGATTTTCCTTTTTAGGATACAGACGATCACTTAGAACAACTTTTTATTAACCCCTATTGTACTTTTCCCTCTAAGAGCACTGTAGGGGTTCAGTGTTCAGCTTTTTCCTTTAATTTGACACAACTCTGTAGGTCACTTGTGTGTCAGTGTCCCTCAAAGTTTCATTCAGACATCTTCCCAATAGTGATGAAAAGAGACGTTACACACATGATGTCATACACACAAAACTGGACAGCACTGGAGTTTCTGTTCATGGTTTGTGGAAATGGTGCTGTGGTAATGGAGATGACAGAGTTAAAAGAGACATCATGTTCAAAATTTCTTTGAAGAATTTGTCCTAAGTTCGCTGCATCTCATTTAACATTATCATCTCCATGGCTAGTTCCTGACTTTTAGAGAATCCTTTTCTTAAATTCCCTTTTCTTAAGTTTCTGTCCAAAAGCCTGCCCAGTTCCAAGCGTGCAAAAGGCTGGACTTATTTCTAAGATGCTTTCCAGACAATGGGTCATTTGCTTGTCTGCAAATGCAAAT